TAGTAGTAGTAGTAGTAATAGTAGTAGGAGTAGGAGTAGGAGTAGGAGGAGGAGGAGGAGGAGGAGAAAAAGTAGTAGTACTTGGAGGAGAAGTAGTAGGAGTAGTAGGAGTTGTATGAGGAGTAGTAGTAGCAGTTGTAGTAGTTGTAGTTGTTGCAGCCGGTGTTGCTGCTGCTGCTGTTGCTGCTGCAGGTGCTTGGCATGTGCAAATGCAGGCACGGACACCCGCCCAGAAGAGGTTCATCACATGTACACCATCATGAAGCAAGATGCCTAGCTGACACACTTGGGTGTTGCCATGGCAGCTGCCAACTTGTGTAACAATCGCCAAGGTCACAGAATGAGCAGCAGCGGGCGGACGTAGACCAGATCTTCTTAGAGAAGAGGAGCCATGAAGAGGAGATCGGGCGTGGTGCCCTCAGGTAAAGCATTCCCATTTGTGCGCCATGCGCGCCACGTCTGCCACGGAAGGCATGGAGCAGGAGATTGCCAGCATCGCTCGCGCCGCTGAGGACAGCAATCCGATGTCATTTGATGGCTAGCGCACATGCGATGTCTCGAAATGGGCGGGCTCTCGCAACTTAAAACCATGCATGTGAAGGTATGCCAAGCCTTGCATGCCCATACCAGGATCGCCTGAATGAGCTGCATCCAGATCAGCGCCGATCACTTGGACAGATGGTTCGCGAAACTGCTCAAGGCATTGCGTCAAGCTTGTTCGAAGATGGCCTCGAGGCCGCGAGTACGAGGAGCTGCGTGAGGAGTCCAAACGACTTAGTCGGTGGCTCAGCATCTCTGTTATTCTCTGCTTTTTAGATTCCTCTCACTGAGTTGCACGGTGGCACAGCCAGGTGCTGACCTTGGTGAGGCCCGGGATGAGCTCGATCAGGTGGGAGATTTGGGACGACCTGCGACTCGTCAGTAATTGAAGACCGCAGGTCAGTGGCAGGCTGAATGCCGTGGAGGGCAGGCTCCAAAGAGCTGTCAACAACCTGCCATCGAATGCGCTTCACCCCTTGCAGGCTCCGAAGTGATCCTCTTCGCACACGACATCAGCAGCTGAGCAACTGCCTCAGGAAGTGTGTGAGGACAGAACAGAGTCCCTTGCAAGTGAGCAGTCACGCTCAGACCAGATGCGCCGTGAGTTGGAGAACCAACTAATCCAGCTACGTGCCGTCCTGAGCGGTAGCGCATGCGTGCCGGAAGCGCTCCTGTCCAAATGCCAGGGCAAGAAGTCCAGCAGGGCTCGATGAGCATCCCGGAACAGCGTGAGATCCTTCTTTCGAAGGTGCTGGCCTGCTGTGTTCATCTGCCTTGGTTCGGTATTTTTTTGCAGGTGAAGAACGACAATGCAGAGATTGTTGCAGCAGAAAAGACCAACAGCCAGGGCCTCTGGACTTGGATTTGCTAGCCGGGCCTTGAGTCCTTGAGCTTGGCATATGCAAGAGGTGAGTTGAAACTCGATAATGAGCGACTGCGAGCCCAGATCAAGGAGGCACCTTTGCATTTGCTGTCAGCTTCACTGCAGGGGGCCGCCCCGTGCCAGGTTCAAGCAGATGCTCAAGAGAAGAAGGCTCTTACAAAGTCTTGACGACTTGGATTCAATATCTGCAGTGTGTGTCCGGCTTCCACTGGCTTCAGGACGAGAGCAGTGACCAGCAGAAGTACGAGATCCTTTTCACCAAGGAGCCATGCTGGGCTGCCACTGCATCATTCATGCGAGGTGGCACTTGTGCCAGGGTGCACGAAGATTGGCAACCAACAGTGTCTGATACCCGCCAGGATCAGGAAATGACTGCTTTCATCGAGGGCTTTGCCGACAGCAAGGCGCATACCCTCGTGGGATCTTGCGGGTCCGTTTTGCGTGGATGGCAGTTGGAACCCTTGCTGAGTTCAGCTTCACTCGGCGCACAGGCAGAGGAGGAGAAAAAGATCAAAGAGAAGCAGGAGGCAACTACGATAATATTTCTTTGTCTTTAGTAAGAAGAAGCCTACGCAGCTGGTGCAATCTCAGAAGACTTAGTCTGCATGATAGCGCGCCCTGCCCAGAGCATCGAGCGGCTGCTGCTGAACATTTCGAAGAGCCTTGATCTGCCCACGGATGCCGTGCACCGAGGGCTTTGCTTGGCTTTGCTCAGCAAAGCGCCACTGTACATGCTTTGAATGATGGTCCAAAAGAGAGACACTGTGAAGGTCACACCTGAATCCCATCTCAGAGACATGGAGGACGAGCCATGGGCTTGGCTGAGCCTTAAGACGGTACCGCTCCAAGCTGTCGCTTGAATTCAGGCTGGACTTCAAGAGTCGACAGCTGCAAAACTCCGAGACCACACAGCCGGGGCCCTGCGACGTTGCTCTGGTTGGAGACGGCCTGAAATAGCATTGCTGTTGAGTATTTTTGCATAATGCTTTTGCCACAGTTTCGTTTTGTGTGGGGGCCTACAGCAATCCATGGTAGCAGACTTGTGAGATAAAGGCAGACTTCCAGTATTAAATTCTGTGAAGTGCCCCACCTGGCTACGGCCACATCAAGAAAGACTCCATCGTATCGCGAAGCGATCAGTCAGGAGCCGCCTTGAGGGAGAATTAGCCAAACGCTAGCACCTTAGCTTCGTGATGCTTATGGTGGCCAGTAGTGCTGGCATGATCGTGACGGATGAAGCGGCTTTCACAGCCAGGTGAAGGGGAGCTCGAGAAGATCGAGAGCCTCGATGTGAAAATTTCCCTTGAGCTGTCCCAGGCATGGAGGGTGCCCCGCATAGCGTGGTGTGAAGATGGTCTTGCTGTTTACAGGTGGAGGAGAAGATGAAGCAGTACGAGAAGGTCAAGCAGTGGCTCACTGGTTGAAACATCACGGCACTGCCTGCAGGGGGGGTGCCTTTAGCGCACTCCTTGCTTTTTGCGTCAGGAGATGGCCGACAGATATGACAAGATCGAAGACATGAAAGCGCAAGGCCTCCAAACACGAATGTACGCAAGAGATGGTGGCAGTAGGCAAGCTCTTGCCAACACCGATAGTCCTCCTGTCAAGTTGAATGTAAGCAGGTGCCCTGGAACTGCAGAAGTTGGAAGAGTCGAAAAAGAGCCTGGAGGACTGCTTCTGCAATCCTTTGATACGTTTACGTCCATCTCCCCAAGGGAAGCCTCCCAGGTTCCGTCTCTAGTATGCGTTCTTTTTTCTGTTTTTATCCCACTTGGGGTTGCGTTTCCGCCGAAGCAACGTTTGAATGAGTAGATTTTGCATATCTGCATATCTGCATATAGGGATGCTGCCCTGGGAGTGCGGAAGAAGTTGCGGAGTTGTCTGATGGAGTTTGGATGGAGGTTGAGACCCAGCGCTCGGGCTATTGAAATTCGAAAGTCCTTCTTGCTAGTTCGCACCACAATGCCTCTGGACATGTCAATCTGGTTTGAGCTGAGATGTGCAGCAGTGTTTGTGCCGGAAGTTTGCATCGCCCGCATGCTGCCATGCAAGCTTGCATGACATTTTTGAAGAACTGGGGATAGACTTGCCAGCAGTTTTACTGGAGATCTTTTTCGTTGTCATCCTGTTTGCAGGAGAGATCTGTGGCGCTCCGGCAACAAGCCGCATGCCTGACAAGAAAATCTAGCATCATGTGCATCTCAAAGCTGTTTTCAGACAAAATCAAATGGCTCTTGATAAGGTGAATTTTATTCGTCTGCGATATGACAGCAAGCGTCTTGTACTCAAGCGTCGGCTATTTGGTATGCCCTTTGCTGGAGCCAGGAGTTTGAAAGCGAGACATCATGCTGTCAGGTCAGCAACTGCAGGACGATGAGACTGCAGCAAACCTCGAGGTGCGCAATCATCAAACCTAATCTATTGCTTTTTTTTCGGCGTGTGAACTCATTTTGCCAGCGTGTTCCATCTGACATGTGGGATCAGGTGCAAGAGACCAAGATCAGACAGTTTGGCCAGTTTGCTCCCAAGTGAGCCGCTGCTTATTCCACCTCCTGTACTGGCATGGCCAAATGTATACTGCTTCCCAGGACATTGCATACGCTTCGGTCGTTCATCCTCCAGAAGACATCAGAGTCAGCATCACAGTTCAGCAGCGCTTTGTTGGAGAGATCAGCGGCTAGTGGCTGCTCTCTGAGAGTTTTGCTAGCCAGCATTAACTATGTCCTCCATAGAGTGAGCGAGTGAGTGAGGGAGGGAGGTGTTAACAAAGCTGCCGAGGTCAGACTTTCGGGCGGAGATGGCCAGCTGCTTGGATGTTGCTGCACAGCTGAACAAGATGCTCCAGGCACGATTTGGATAGAATGACGTCTGTCATCGACAGTTTACTCTTGCCCCTCTATCTTTGCCAAAACTTTGCAAACAAACACGTTGTTGAAAGGACGGCGCGCTTCGACCGCCGCCTCCTGTTTGATGCACTGGGCCAGGCTGTGTGGAGTTGAGGAAGTTGTCAATTTGTTTGAGCATAGCGGCTGCAGCATCGCTATGCACTTTCCTCAGGCCTTGTGGTGCCGCTCTCGATGATGTGAGCTCCATGTGTAGAGAGGGTCCCAGCAGGAGATTTTCAATGACAATTAGTTGTTGACAGTCGCAGGGCCCACAGGATGCTTGTACTGTCACTGGAGCCGTGGCCAGGTAGGACTTCCATGTAGATAGGTCCAGCTAGGTTGAGTCACCAGAGCTGGCCAGCACTGCAACTGCTCAGAAGGTTATGGTACAGACGTTGGATAGCTACTGCGGATCAAGCAAGAACGCAACTGAGCCGGACGGAGTCGATCGATGCCCCGGAAGCTGGGGCGTCCAGACTGACTTCTGGATTCAATTTGCTTTGCACCCGACAATGCATGTCTGAGACTGCTGCTTGAACTGTGTGGTAGCAGATGCATGACAAAAGATCAAGCAATTTCTGCATGTCCGCTCAAAGTCTGACGCTGCTATGGCAATAGCGCGGCTGAGTATTTGGTCAGAAAACCACCCTAGCTACTTCCTACACCTCCTTACCCACATTGCGTTCGAGCAGGTAGTGCCGTTCCTGCCGCAGTGGCTGAGAAATGACTTGTTAAGTTTGGCACCCGGTTGGCTGAATGGAACCATCGTTTCGCCGCTTTCTGACTGGAACGAGGCGAACGCTTTGTGACGGAGTGTGTCAATTTCTTCTCAGAGCTGGACAAGGCTGAGATGTCGCAAGTCACCTTCAGCCTGGGTCAGTTTTTTTTTTTTGGAGGACAAGAATGGCACCCTTGAGCCGGAGGAGCTTTTCCCAATGGTCTGCCCTTCAAGCTGGACCAATGCTGTGCAGCTTGCTGTAGACGTAGAGCCTCGCCAGGTGCGGAGTATGGCAGACGCTCACAGCACCTTGGCCATATGGCAGTGCAACGCAGTGTGTGTTTTTGCCCCTTTGTTGGCAACTGGCAGGCATGGCGCTGGACCTCGACCAGCACGGTTCTAAGGGCTGAGGGCTCTAGACTGAAGTGTCTACACCAGTAGCGAGTTTGTGCAATGTGCAGGAACCTAATTTGCATCTGTTACTTAGCGCAGGGCGTGCTTGAGCAACTAGCTTGTCCCTAATCTAAGTACGGCAGGATGTAAAGCCCGGCCGAACTTCCACAAAACTCTGCAACAAGCAGCTGTGACATTTTGCTCTTGTCATCTTGCAAGGTGCAAGCGCTTTTCCAAGATCTTTGATGTCAATGGCGACGGCTTGATCGAGTTAGATGAGTCCCTCACCAAAATTTCAGCAGCTGGTTGTTCACGTTTCGCTCCCGATAGGTTTTCTTTAAGACATGACCCAAGTACCAACTCACACAAAAGGCGAAGAAGAATAATCAGAAAAAGAACAATAATCACAAGAAGAAGAAGAAGAAAAAGAAGAGTGTGACACACCCAGTCAGCCGGGAAAGGAAGTGAACTATAGTAGTATGATGTGCATGATGTTGCGTTCTTTAGATAGAATCTTGCAACCAACCGTCAGAAGGCTTGGCAGGCTGAGACGCAAATGGATTGCCGAAATTAGAAGCAACAACCTCTGACTGTAGCATTTGGGTAGCCGCCGGGACGGCGCTGAACTTGTACAGATTGGCATTGTGCAGTTAGCCAGCTGTTGCCCAGTGATCGGACTGCTTCTTAGATGCCTTGACAGACTGATGCCCTGACAGGGGGCGAGTGAACAAGAGATATGCTGGAGGTTCGAATGTGGACGATGGTTTGCTTCCCTTGTTTGGGTTCTGATGGTTTTATGATGTCCAGTACCCGGCATGACTGGCCCTTCAGCCTTGAGCAGATGAGTAAAACCAAAATTAATTGGAGAGCGGAATTGCGAGCGAACAAGAGAGCATCCGCGTCAATTGAGGGGCACCTTGCGAAATGACGAGAAATTGGGTTGTTCTTTCTAATTTCTCTCGAATCTACAACTCAAAGTTTTCTCTTACACCCTCTTGGTGCGCCTTACCAGGCTCAGCTGTCAAATTTTATTCTCCAGATCTTTCAAATAGTTCATCTAACCAACGAATCTGGGGCCCAGCGGGCCGCCCCACGCGAATCTGCTCAGGATCAGTCAATTCTTATGCATTTGTATAGGGTCATATAGGGATTATAATAGGGTTATGTGGGATTAGATGGAGATAATGGAAAAATAGAATGGAAACTACTCAGTACTCAAGGCTCAGTGTTGACCTTGTTCATCCCGTACTCCATAGTTATACCTGCGAGGGCTGCGAGGATGGATTGAAGCTGTGGTATGGTCAGGCCAAGGGGTAGCATATCATCGGCATACTCTGAGTCACGCACTGGGTAACCCTCAGACCAAGTGTCACTCGGTACTCCTAAGGAAAACAGATCATGGTAAACGTCGCAAAGCACGACGGTAACTACAATGACAAAAAGGTAGGAGTGAGAGGACGAACATATCGAATTCTGGCCGGTGCTTTGCCCCGGCAGCATATGGGAAGACAACTCAAATATTTGTAATGCCTCCAACGTGGCGGTGTGTTCAGGCGACCCAATCCATGTGGCACATGTCATGTCCAATGCGTGAGTGTAACGAACGTGAGTTCTTGCTCAAGATGACTCTGTTGACTCACGAATTCATGCAAGTTCCAGTGGGCCTGCCTGCCGTCATTCGCCAAACGAACCGTATGGGGAGAGTAAGAGAGAGCATAAGTATGAATGAGGGAGCGTTGTGTTGGGGTGGCACATGATCCATTGAAAAAGAACAAGAGGCTCAGGGCCTCCATTCTGGTCTAATGTTGGACATCCTTTAGTATAAGTATACTCGGGCCTCACCGTGTACAATTGACTATTCTCTTTAATACGGAACCACCCCTCAAATTCGCCGCACAATTGAAATCGAAAAAAACAATGAATCTCGGTTGAAGCTGGTATTCTTTTTTGTACTAGTGTTAGTATTGGCACTACCATTAGCGTCCAAACAGACGGAGACCCAAATCAACCAATTGAAATCCAAATAAACATCTAGTTAAAACTAATTGAAATCAATTGGAGTCTGATTAAAACCTGATCAAATCTAATTAAATTCAAGAATTTCTAATTTACTTGATTCAATTACAATCGAAATTGAACCACATAACCCTATTCAAATCAATAGAAACCTGAAACCTATTTACAACTCAATTAGAAGTTATTCGACTTCAACTGGAACGTACTTTAAACCTATTAAGATGCAAGTGAAACCTGTTGAAATCAAACTAAGACCAACTGAGACCAACCGAAAATCGAACGAACAACACTTCAAAGTCTAATTAAACTAGTCAAACTCAATTGAAATCCGATTAGAATCAATCAGCCCCTAATTCAAATGAATTTTGAAATAGAATTAGAATCAATCGAAAATCCAAGTAAGATCTATTTGGAATGAATTGAGAACCCAATAAAAGCAAGTGAAATCTAATTGAGGTCTATTTTAGAACCAATTAGAAAGCAACACCATCAGAAATTATAGGCCAATTTAATTTCGAGAAACCCCACTAGAAGCATTTTACATTCAAATTAAAATGGATGCTATCCTGGTGAAATCTAGGTGGCTGAAAATGCTTTCTTATTCCGGACCCCTAAAACACATGATTAAAGTCAATCCAGGCCTCTGCTGGACTACTGTATGATTTCGTATAATCCCGAAAAAACCGTTTGTATGGAGCTGGGGTCTCTTAGTTTCATCTCTGATATCTGGCCTTAATAGGTAAGGCTCTGGTGCTAGAGCTCTGGTATCTAAATCATTGAAGGCCTGAGGCTCACAGCCTTTAAGGATTTAAGGTATCCTGGTCTAAGGGAAGAAGTAGTGTCGGAAAGCACCTGCAAGCTGTTTTGGTAATGCTTCTCTCAGCTAAAGCAAACCAAACTTAGGTAGTACATTTTTTTTGTATTTTGGTGCCCCAAAATTTCAATATTCCGGACCTCTCCAAACAAGCCAGATCCACAATAAGCTCCCAACCTCCCCCAAAAAAACATAAACCGGGTCCCTTGTCTAACAGGGTCCAACCATACCGCAGTCCTGTACAGCCGTGGGACACAGGCCATGTCACTTAGTCATGCAGATGTATTGTGCCAGCACTGCCTTGCAAAGACACAGCCTTCTTGGTACGAGGATTTGAAATAGACGAAGCCGCCTTACTGCTCCATCTTCGGGAGTTCCACCTCAAACTAAGGAACCCTGACGCGCCCCGCAAGGGGGTGGGCGTGGCCTGTAGTAGAAGAAGGACAGAAGGGAGGCGTTTAAAGGGGGGGCATTACAGGGCAACTGCAAGAGACTGGCCCTGATGACAAAGAAACAAAGAAAGAAGGACAAACGGAAGGATAGAAAGAAGAAAAGAAGCCAGAGAAATGCACAGAAGGTAGCCAGTCGTCTGCTTGCATCTAGCCTTTCTCTGCCAGGTTCGTCAACTTCTCTCGCTTCATGATCGTGATGTCCTTCTTGCACAGCCAGGTGAGGGCTCCTGGCGGAACGTAGATGCAAGCATGGAGGGCTGCATTGGATACCCGGTTGCTCGTCACGGGTTTCACTCGGTTCCAGTAGAGAAGCAAGTGTGTAAAGCTGCTGCAGGAAGGACAACTGACGTTGTCGATTGCAATGGAGCCAGAGGCGCTGGATGGCTTTTGTAAACACGTTGCATTTGACTTCAACCCATGTTAAGACCCAAACATCCACCGAGCATCAATTTGCTTGCAGCCGTTTCTTTTACCAAGCATGCCTTAGGCACAGCTTCAACTTTGCAGTCAGGGTTCTCTGTGCAGGATCATGCTCGCGGTTGTTGCGCTGTCTTCCTCAGACGCAGAGCGCTTCAAGAGTAGAGCCGAGTTGATTTTTTCACTTTGTTTGCGAATCGTTGCGGCTCTGGTGGCTTTGTATGTATTCATGCTGGGATTGGACATGATGGGTAGTGCATTCCTGGTGTTGGGTGGCAAAGGCGCCGGAAAACTCCTCGGTTCAACTGGAAATCCAGTCAAGGGCTTAATGGTTGGCATTATGGCCACCGTCCTCGTACAGTCCTCGTCCACGAGCACCTCGATTGTGGTCGCCCTGGTAGGTGCAGGCCAGCTATCTGTACGTGATGCCATTCCGGTGGTTTTCGGCGCGAATGTGGGGACATCTGTCACCAATACCATCGTGTCTATGGCGCACGCCACAAGTCGTACTGAGCTTGAGTATGCCTTCTCAGGCGCGACGGTTCATGACTTCTTTAACATGCTTACAGTTCTCGTTCTCCTGCCCATAGAGGCAAGCGTGGCAGCCATTACTGGGCAGGGTGGACCTTTGCTCTACATATCTCGGGTTGCCACAGAAGCTGTCATGGGTGCTCCGGGTAGTGACATTACCTTCTCATCCCCTGCCAAATTGGTTGTGGCCCCGTTGGCAGACGTTCTCATCAATCCGAGCAAAGACGTGCTGAAGGCCGTATCTCTGGGAGCGCCTCCGAGATTTACCGTGCCGAGTTCTGCGAGCATACAATCATGTCCACCAACAATGAACTGTGCATATTACTTCTGCGTGACTACTCCCATGCGGAAGGCCTGGGAGAAGCTTGACCCCGATGGGCTCGCTTCTCTGACAAGGTGCAGCAGCCTAATGGCCTTTGATTCTGAATGTCGGGTGGCAGAGGCGGACTGCTACCTAGGAGCGGACAAATTCTATTCTATTTCGGTTGAGGGCGGTCGTGTGCTCAAGTCCGGGATGCTCGCCAGAGTCAGCGATATTCCTGGCGGTGTTATTGGGCTTGTGCTGTCATTCCTGCTGATCACCGGAGCGCTCTTCTGCCTTGTTAAAATTTTACACTCCATCGTGATGGGTCGTGCTCAGAAGCTGATCTTGCGTGCTACTCAGCTGAACGACTACGCAGCCATGTTCACCGGATTTGCTGTCACTTTTGTCGTGCAGTCATCTTCTGTGACAACATCTGCGCTGATTCCGCTATGCGCGATAGGCATTCTTCCTGTCCACAAGATGCTGCCACTCACCTTGGGCGCCAACATAGGAACCACAACTACGGCGATGCTTGTAGCTCTGGCAGTTCTGAGGCAGGATAGCTTGCAGATTGCCTTCTGCCATCTCTTTTTTAACGTGCTCGGTATCCTCATTTGGTTTCCGCTGCCGCTTTTGAGAGATGTGCCTGTCAAAGCAGCTTGCTTCCTCGGCTTCTATGCCTCTTGCTGGCGGCTGGTGCCGTTGTTGTACGTCCTCCTTGTGTTCCTAGCTTTTCCTGGCCTTTGCCTTAGCATCTCACTGACATATGAATCTAGTGTTGTTGTTGGCGCCATCGTGACATCTGTGCTTGTCATGATGCTGGCTGTGTTCATGGTCTGGTGGTGGATGGGCGGCTGTTACAAAGTGGTCTCAATACAGATGCGCGAGGAGTGGGCTGTTCGGAGGGCAAGGGAGCTTACACTTGCGAACGAGCGCTACGAGGAGCAACTGAAAAAGGCCCAATCAGCAAGATCGACTCAGACCGCAGACCTGCGCCAAGTTGTGGTGGATAGGGGCGAAAACCGATGTGATGCCCCAACCAGCCCCGCAAACCAAACAGCAGCAGAGCCCAAGGAGCGCGGGAGGCGTGTGAGCATAGGACCTTCCAAGGAGGCAACTGAAGCGTTTGTGCCTGCAGAACGTGTCTCGCTCTCAGAGGACCCAGATGACGAGCTAGTCACGTGGGTGTTCTGAACAGCAGAATTTGGGATACTTGAATTACTGCAGCACATGCACATGTAACATCCCGATATTGAATGTTTTCCATCTGCAGTTGATGGACATTGTGTTAATGTAGTCCGGCCCTGCAGTGTGCGTTTGGCCTGCATTGCGAAGCAAGGTGCCTTTAGCAACTTCAGTATCTTTTGAGAAGTATGTAGGTTTTGTGGGTGAAGTCCCCGGTGCATCTAGCACTTTGGACTTTTTTCCTTTCCCATCCACCTGGTGCCAAGTTGATTCAATGAGTCGGCACCTGAGACATCCTGCGTTTTTTTGAGGGCGCAAGCCCTCAATTAATTCGATGCATGCTTAGTGCAAGCAAGTTGCTGGCAAATGTCATGTCAGCAGTCAACTGTTCTTGTATCATACGCCAATCTGCATTTCGCAAGAAGCATAACGCAGCTCAGCGGGGTTGCGGCACTTTGGAAGAAGATTTTGTTTCTGACATGGCAGCCTGTAAGTCTAGCAGTCGAGCTTCGGGCATCCAGGCAATGGCGAAGATGAACGGGGAGCTGCCTGGAGGCCCTTTTGTTTGCTTAGGTTTTAATACCCGGCTCATTCCCCTTACGCTACCTGCAACAATCTCTGACATGAGCGATTGGCATGGGATCTGCTATCCCAGCTGAAAAGGTTGGAAGGAGGCAGCTGGTACGGTCTCTTAAGCAGTGGTGGTTTGCTGGTCAGCTACAGCGGAGGTCCACCGCCTGTTACGCCGCAGCCACATGCCCGAAGCTTGGTGCTTTGCTTCTGCATGGTCCCACCCTGCAACGCCTGCAAGCAGGACAGCAATGTTGTCAGCCCGGGCAACATGAGCCCGTTGCCAATGCTCAATCCCACAGAGGCTGGCTGCTTGCACATGAGGACGTTCATCATTAGCCTCAGGACAAGACAGGTGTCCTGAAGCAAACGGCGACAATGAGCCATACTGCTTGGGGTCATGTGTAAAGCCTCCTCCATGACGCATTAGTTGTGAAGCAAGGTGTTGCAAACGAAGCCCAAGGGAAGGCTCTCGAAGGGCGGACTTGTATTTGCAGGAGGAGGCTCCGGTATCTCCAGCACACTTGGCTGTGGACTGCGAGTTCTACAAGAACAAGTGCCAGCCTCAAAGAGCTGGCTCCTGCTTTCAACTAGTGAAGCTGTTGACTTGTCTGACAGGTCCCACAAGCTAATGGAGGAGAATGACGGCATGAGGGAGTCACAATCTCATCTGAGACTGCATCCGCGTTATAACAGTCAGCGTTTGTTTAGTGGAGGGGCAAATGATGAGAGTGGCTGAGGCGCATGAACGGGCTGGAGGACATGGTCCGGAAGCTGCAGAAGCAGCTGGAAGATCAGGCACAGAACTGATATCATCGGTTTCACACGGGGTTTCTAGTACTGGACGAACCTGTTTCCACCCAGCAGCAGATTAGCGATTCCAAAGTGCTTTGCACGGACAGGAACAGAAGCTCCGCCACGCGGAAGTTGCCAATACCTCAGGCAGTCTGATGGCCTGGAGAAGAGCCATCCCAAAAATCAAATGTTCTCAACATCCCATACGTAAATGTTTCAGTTCTCAGCCAGGCGTAGTGCGGCGTGTGCTGCAGTCACAGCGCTTGTGGCTTACGGGTGAGCTGTCCGAGGATCTCCGAGCAGGCGGCCTTCGGTGAGCTGTGCTGGTGCTTGACCTCATCGCCTGAGCTGCCAAGCAAAGTGTCCGGCTCCAATCCCAGCATCCCCAGTGCATCACGCAGCTAAAAAGCATTGCAAGCATGAACCCCACATGAAAAACGCCCAGCCCGGGTTGTTTTCAGGCAACAGACTGACTCATTTGCAGAAGCCTCCAACGTTTCACGAGCGCCCGCGAACACCGTGGCGCCAGGCGTCTGACTTCACGCGCTGGCCCTGTTACGCCCTCAAGACTCCTGCTTCCGTAGTTTATAAGATGCCGCGCTATGCCCGCTTATGTAAAAATGTGGATTATTGTTGGTAGAGGTTGTGATTGTGCTAGGAGCATATTTTGAGCGTGAAGTTGAAACCTCTCTTTTGAGCAGAAGCTCCGGCTGCTGCACAAGAGAAGCCAGCCATTGGAGAAAGTGGATAACAGAAAAGCGCGCTGTTTCCGTGAGGAACATCTTTTCTAGCCAAAGGCTGCTTAAGTTTTTTCTGCAGGCGCCCCTGAGGGGATCCAGTCAGAGCCTATGATGGTTTGTTCACGTTCTCTTGTGTGGGTCTGTTGTTAGAGCTCGTGCGGATTCTCATCACCATAGCAGCAATTGCTACATGTAACCATGCTTCTGATGACCAAAACATATTTGAGATTACAGTGTCGTCGCTTACCTCAAGCTTCGCTGAACCTGATTGCACAAAGAGGCAAAACAGTGGCTCGTTCTTTGTCGCGCTCGCGGCTGTTTAGCCTTGCATCGCTCAAAATTTCAAAGGAGCATCATTACTTGACTCAGCGGTATTTCGGTCTTCTGGCTCGAGACTCAAGAATGTCTTGGCACGAACTGTCATGAGAGTGGAAGCAGACAAAGGTCGCCATGTGATAAAGCACCAGTAGACGCGCAGCTCCAATCATCATTGTTTGGAAGAGGCTATGGTGGAGTCCGAGGAACAGAATGCTTCCCGGCTCTCACTGCTGCAACGCCATCGTGAGGCACGGGAGCTCCTTGTCAAGCTGCAAGACCCAGCCGGGTCTGACCCGGCGGGGGAGAAAGGCAGCCACTCGGAGGGCTCTAGGCCGAGGCCACAAAGCGCTGGAGGCGGATGGCGACCTGGAACCGTTCCTGCGACACTTGCGACTGGGACTGCAACAGCAGCACCTGCCCGCCCAAAGTCGGCAGCAACCAGTTCGTCACAAGTCCCACAGGAGGTGCTTGCAGCGTCTTTGGCAGCCGCAAGTTCTCACTTCCACTCCATGCCTTTGCAGACACCATCCTCCAGTTCTTCTGGAACAAGCTTGCCAAGGAAAAGACCGCTCTCAGCGTTCCCACTTCGTGCAAGTGCATCTCCAGTATGCCAACGACCCGCATCTGCCATTGGTGTGCGGGAACACTTCAGCCCCTTGCCGCCCAAGGCATGCTGTGCTTTCCAATTCTCGTTGCATTCAAGTCACCCCCCAAAATATGTGAAGGCTGATGAGCCTGTAGAGCCTGTGATGGGCCAGCGCTGCGGTGCATCCTCGTGGCTCAGTGGCACATTGCTTTTGCAGATGCTTCTTGCAAAGTCAAGACACGTCAATCGGGTTCGTTGAATTCATCCAGAGGTTGCCCTAACAGCCCTAAGATGTTGCGCGGATTTGCATGGATAGCATGGAAACTCTGATCTTAATTTCGGTTGTTGACTTCCAAAAGGCTGCGCTCACCTGCACCTGGCGAAGGCCAACTTTCAGATTAACCTTGGCACAGGCATGCTTTTCTGAGCGGTGCTGCGCAATCCTTCGGAATCCAGCCGGTTCTTGTGATGTTGAGCTTCCACAAGAGGCTCGTTGCACGAAGCGCATGACAAAGCGTCCACAAGCAGCTCAGCACCCAATTGAAATCATGAGCTGTCAAGATCCCGCAGTCTTGTCACAGGAGCGTCACAGGAGCAGCAGTCATGCGTTGAACTTTTTGTGGGTTGCCATGAAAGCTGCTCAGGCGATGCTGCGCGGATAGAGCATTTACCTTGCCAGGGGCCGTGCGACTGACGTGAATTGCCTGCTGTGAGCAGCTAATTTGCATGTCGACATGAGTCATCGCATGTTCTGTGCCAGGGACCTTCTGCCTTCGGCAATTCAAAGCCGCTTTGGTAGGAGCCTTGGCCTGGCTGTCACGAAAGAAGCACAAGTGGGAAGATGGGAAGGTCCACCACCTCCGTTGCCTCCTTTGCCTCTGGAGCTGTCCGTTGCGCAGGAGCTGATCAGAGCCAAATGCACCGTGTTACAGCGCGGTCGGAGATTGGATTGAAAAGTTCTCTAGACAAGACTCTGAGGAGCAATCTCCTGAAGATGCAGGTGCGCTGAAGCCAAATTCAGTGGGCTGTGGGTTTCCTCACGTTGCACGCACATTTATTTGCCATTCAGCCAAATATGAACCAGTCATAGCTTGAAAAGACTCCTTCATCGACAAGATCTGCTTGACATACTCAACTAGCCAGTTGAAAAACAATCAACCAATCAACCAATCAACCGACCAATCATTCAGCAGGTGAAGATGAAAGCAAAAGATCCGTCAATCAGTCAGCAGGTTCCATCCAGGTAAGTGTCAGTAAGCACAGAATCGTTGAGCCTACCAATCCAGCAAATCAACCAAGCAAGTAACCTCTCGACTAGTCAACCGACCACTTCATCTTGGAATGCATATTGACGAAGACGATGCGCGGAGTTGGAAGAAATGCTCGGCTGTGGTCTGGCAAGGTCCCAGGAAGGATGACGAGGACGATTTTACGACTGAGGCCAGTGGCCTGGGCGGGGAGATCCAGATCTTGCAGCTTCTGCTTGTTGAACAGTGTCACAGGAGCGGCAACTTGAGCAGGAGTCGGAAGAGGCTTGTGCCCCAGCACCGAAATCAGTAGTTGCTTTGAATCAATTCAAAGCAGTCCTGTGCGAAGAGGCTTTGAACCAGCTGGAGGCGCTTGATGCAGCTGCAGGGACCTTGGTTGTATCATCTCTGGCGCCACTTGAAGCGCACTGGCAGAGGTGGAAGCTCTGCGGCTCAAGCTGGAGGTTTCACAAGATGAGATTGAGTCCTGTCCTCGGTTTTGTTTTGAATGCCCCCTCAGTCAAATTGCCTTGAGGTCCTCTGGGGCGGAGCTTCAGCAGCTGCGGTGTGCAGCTGACAGTTGGGCCAAGGACAGAGCAGCTTGCCATGCGGTGCGAATCCGAGTCTTTCAAAGCTGTCTGAGCCCAGGCAGCAGAGGAGAGCAGCAGGGAGCTACGCGAGCGCGAGCAGCGGCTTCAGGACGGGCGCGGAGCAGCAAGCTTGAGTCAGCGCAACTCTGCTACTGGTAGGAGCTCCTTGCAGTCCTGCCTGGAGTACCGGGCTGAGAGCAATGAGATAGCGCTTTGGTTCCGTTCAAGCATGAGCAGGCGGGCGAAGTTCTGCGGCCCAGCGCAGAACAAGAGAAGGCCCGGATGCGCTGTCTTACAGCAGTAGTGGCATTTATGCCATATCTGTAGCTACAGGAGCTCAACAAGCAGTCCGCGCTGGCAGATGAGAGGCCACGAAAGTCTCCATGGTCCTTGCTTGCAATATGCAAACGCCGCAAATGTGCAACTAGATCTGCTGTCAGGGTGCGAGTATTGGCAAAGCAAACAGACAGACTGCAGGAGCAGGCCCGAATATTGGAACCCCAAAAGGGCTGTGAGACACTGCAAACAGGTCAAGCTTGAGCAGCGGCTGCTAGCACAGCGCCTTGACGAGCGGCGGGCTCTCGAGGCACAAGTGGAGGCCAGGGCTGCCAGTGCTGGCATGTGGCGCGAAAGGGAAGCAACGATGCGAGGTCCTGTTGCGAGACCGCGACGAGCAGAAAGTGGCACAGCAGAAGGCAGGGTGACTGAAAAATCATAAAGCACGCAGGCTGGTTTTAAATCAAGTTTCACCAGGCAAGAGGAGCCCTGCGTTTAGCAGAAACGCAGCTGAAGCAGAAGGAGGAGGCTTGAGAAGTGAGCCAAATTCTGACGGCATTTGTCCTGAATAGTGGCAGGCCCTTGCTGCGACATCCCGCCGTTGCGAGGAGCTGCAGCGCCAGGGCGTGCGGATGCGCGGGGAGGCGATCTTGTTGAAGCGCATGACTGTTGCGCAACGCGCTGTACAGTATTCAGCCAGTCTGAAGTTTGACAGCTCCCACAGCCGCAAGGTGCGAGGTTTGAAAGCTCGCTTGGCCGCTCTGTCCCCAGCATCCAGGTGCCAGCGCAAGAGATAGAGTGCAGACAACATTGCCCGTCGATGCCATGTTCTCTTAAAATGAAATGACAGCCCCGGGCTCAAGCAGCTGCCGAATCTCCAGAAGAGTGCCTCGCATGCTTTTATACAGGAACAAGACTGACGTCCTCGACACCTTGGAATGGATTCTGGCAGAGCCAGGCCCACATCAGGGACTCCCTGATGGCCACGACTATGGCCATCAAGCTAGTCAATTGCACAATTCGTACAAAGATGAAGTGAAAGTTTCCGATCCGATTTAAAGCTTGAACTACAATCTAGAAGATTCAGCCACAGAGTGATTCAACCACATGTGCAGCAAGCCAGGCTTGTCTGAAGCTCCTTGGGCTTATGCAATCTAGAGTCTAGAGCTCACCATCACTTTGAAGTTTAAGCTTGGCCAAGCATTCTACAGGCGCCCAGACGCCAACGAAACAGCAGCTTGTAGACCAGCTTGCAGTCACCCATCCGGCTCACAACTGGGGTAGCCTCTCCAAGTCCTGGCAGTGCGTGATCTGTGGGATCCTCGTCTCAGTCAAGTGGTGTCGACGCAGAATCTTAGCAGCTGCTTCGTTCTTTTGCCCTTTCTTGGGCCATGATCTCCGTCATTTGGGGGTGCACACGACACATGAGCTGTATAGAAACGCCCGCGAGTGGCGATGCAAAGGGTGTAAGGGCGCCCTTAGGCTGCATTTGATGATCAGAGAAATCCCCACCCGTTGGCACCGACCATGCAGGTAACCTCAGACAAGACGTGCTAGTGCGCCGTATTTGTCTAGCAAAAAAAGCGAAAACACGCGCAAGGCTTGCTTCCATCAGCCCTGAGCAGGCCGCAAGGTCCCAAGCCACTGGAATGCTCAGCCTCGGGCTGCCACGGCAGCACTTGCCATCCTGGCGCGCAATGGAAGAGCAGAGGAGCTGTTGACTGTTGGCCTGTCGGCAGAGTACTCCGTCAAAGAGCTGGCAACCGCTGGTCCAAGGAGTCTCGAGAACTGTTGCGACGAATGCGTCGGGAGGAGGCTTTCGGACCTTAGCTGGCAAGCTTACAGTAGGCTGATGGTAGCGAGCCAAGCCACAAATTGGGACCTGGGAGTGAATGTCACATTAGGACAAAAGTTACTTGTCAACAACACGTCGCAAGCTTACAATAAGCAATCATCAGCATGCCAAGGATTGATGGCTGGATTTGTGCTTCTGCTAGGTAGAAACCAACATCTTCCACTTCAGCAGCGCTATCAGCGCATGCAATAAAGCGGCAGACTGGCGACTTGCTCTGGACACCTTGCGCACCATGCTTGAGCATCAGGCTCGAAACGAAGCTTGTGCTTCATCGTCACAGTGGCAACAAGGTTTGCAGGGTTGTGGAGTTTCTTTGGCGTGTTGCCGTTGTTGCAGGTGCTCCCCAACACAGTGAGTTTCAGCTCCAGCTTGGGTGCTGTGTCTTCAATTCACGGCTGCACATTGTTTGTACTGCAGGAACAGGCAAAGTGCATGTTCTACTGCAGTGCAAGCCGCACATGCAAGGTGCCTGTGAGAAAGCTTCTGATTGGCTGGTGGCTCTTAGCCTCTTCACGGAGATGAAGCACAAGAAGCCCAGCTCAATTGTACAACATCTTGGCCCGTGCGGAAGCATGCACTTGCTAAGGCACGTGCCTTTGAATGTCATTGCATACAGCGCAGCCATCCGGGCTTTCGGCAAAGCGGGCGAGTGGCAAATGGCTTCCGCACTTTTTCGTGAAATGGCAGTGAACAAGGCGGCAGGTTCCGATCTTGCTGTTCCGTCAATATGGCCAGTGTGCGAGCCATGGGAAGGTCACCCAAGACGTGGTAAGCTACAGCTCCATGATCAGTGCAGCCGCTCAAGGGGGACAGTGGCGCTTGGCCTTCCACTTGCTCAGTGCTATGGCACATGATCAGATGCTCAGTTTAAAGATGCTCTAGACTCTCGGCACTTGTGCAGCAGTGTTGAGACAGTCGCGTTTGGACCGTGTATGGCAATGCAAGGATTAGTCCAAATGTTGTCAGCTACAACAGTGCCATCAGCGCCTGTGAGAGGGGTCTCAAGTGGGAATTCGCAGTACATTTGCTCCAGTCAATGTCAGAGGCACGGGGAAGTTCGTTGGGTTGTGATATTTGCAGCCTGTTCACCTTGCATACTTTGAAACGATCAAACTTCCAGGCAGCTACATTGCCTGATGTGGTGAGCTACAGCGCAGCTATTTCTGCCTGTGAGAAGACGGGGAGATGGCAGTATGCGCTGTGCTTGCTGAGCCCGATCTGTAACGACAGGCTTTTGCGGTCTACAACGTTTGCTGCTTTTGTGGAAACTGTGCGGAGCCGTTTGTGGGTGCTGTGCCTGGATATCTGAGGATCTCAATGGCAGAGGCTAGAGTGGCTCCGAACACGGTCAGTGTCTCGACGAGATGCTATTGTTGCTGAACCTTTGATGTATTTTGATGTCGGTTTCTGCCTCTCACAAAGTTGATGTAACTGTAGCATGGCCTCTGAACCAACAGGCAGGTTGCAGTGCCATGCCTGAAAACCTTACTCGGGAGTCCTGCCGCTCATGGGCATGTTGGCTTTCATGGCTTAAAGGCTTCAATGCAGCAATAAGTGCTGCCGAGAAAGCACAGGACTGGGTGCATGCTGGCTGTGCTTTCCTGACTCCTGGACTTCCTGGGAGTCTGCAAGCAAAGCTGCTGAAACTGAAAGCTCTCAGGACTGGCTACTGGCACTGGAGCTGCTGAGAATGATGCAGGCAGCTGAGGCTGGCTTCTTTGCACAACAGGCACTCAACTGTAGTGATACTCTGACTGCATGCTTGGACCTGGGTGGCGCAGCTGCGATTTTTGCACCAGGTTCCGCCCTCTGTGGTCACCTACAGTTCAGCCATCTCCGCTTGTGAGAAAGCACTGGAGTGGGAAGCTGCGCTTGGGTTGATGAGTCAAATGCCGGCATCCAAAGTAGCTCAGCGAAAGAAGCTACGGCCTCCTGACCAATTTGTTTTTGCTTCCTGGGCCTCCAAGGTCACGGCCAATCAGGTCACCTACAACAGTGCTCCTTGGCTTGGAGAACTGAAAAGCTTTGTAGAGACGGAAGCTGGCAGAGCAACTTCCCAGGCCATCAGTGCCTGTGACAAGGGGAGCCAGTGGCGCCAGGCTGCGGCTCTTCTCCAAAAGATGCGCGAAGTACACATCCTTCAGGCCTCACTTGCATGGTGAGATCGCCCAGCATCTTCTGAAATCCATCATGCCATTTTCTTTTGAGGATGAGCTCAGCTTCAGTGCCGCAATCAGTGGCTCTGGCAAAAAAGATGCCAAGTTTTTTTTGAGAGTTTCCACGACAGATTTTTAGCAAGAATGCAGAGTTTGAGCCTAATGTAGTGGTGGTATCAATAGTACGTGTTCTTTGAGCCGCCATCTTCGGACAAGCGGAGAAGGCTGGCCCTGTCGTAAGCGGATGCGGAAACCTGGGTTGAAGCGACGGCCTCCGGGTGCGTGCACCCTCGCCCGTGCCCTTTTACTCCAATAATATCTTCTTAAACAAGTGAGAAAGAGCCAGTGTAGCAGCA